GGCAGGCGAGCGCTCTATTCCCTGAGCCACCACGGCTCTATAAACATCTACTAAATACTTAAAAACAATCTTATTAAAACCAACGCATGCACAATCTTTACTATACGCAAATATGGGTCAGTTTAATCAAAAAGTTTGCTACTCAGAAAAATTTCTCTCAATACTTGACCCAGGAGGAGTTCCCTTGTCTTCTGGATTAGGTTCAAAATTACAAGGCTTCGTTGTTGAACATTGGTAGCCGTGAACTCAAAATTGGATCATAAAATAAGAAATAAATTCTTCATTATATGAGACGCAGTGGCTCAAGGGATAGAGTGCTCGTCTCCTAGAACCAAGTTCGCATCCCACCAATGGCTGATCAATTCGAATTCTGCACCCGGCTCGCACCGACAACAGTGCGGAAGCTAAATATCTCCACTGGTAGACTCATCGTAGGGGCGAACTCCCTTGCCTACGAGTTAGCTGAGGTAGGTTTTCAGTGGTTTTCCTTTCCATGTAAAGCAAATGAGGATTAGTTTCATGAAAAATTCCGCCACGAAGGTTAGTTTGTCCCAATGATTCATACAGGAGCTCTCTTGCCTTCTAGGTTGGGTTCAAAATTGCAAAGCTGCAAAATTGAGCATTGATACTAGCAAACCCAAAAATGGTTTGGCTGTTCAAAAACGGTTAAAAAATACAATAAATAATGGTTCTCTTTAAATGTATGGAAATTACTATATCGCATTCAACAATTATTTGGTGCACATTTCCACAAAATGAATTTCTTTATTTATTTATTTTTAAATTAGACACTGAAAAAAAATTAACAAAGATTTTTTCCGAATTAAATAATTCCAAAAAATTAAGGATTATTATTTCTTTTTCATCGAATTTGCCTCAAATTTACAAACTTCATTTTTTTTTCAACCAGTATTAAGTCTAAATATTTTGGTTTACCAAACCCCATGACACCAACGAAGAATATATAAGATATTATTTTACTTATATATTCTTTGACACCAATGTCTACCCGATGGCACCCGATTTAGACCAATAAACATACGGTAACACTGACCTGATCAGTGGCGTACGCAAGGGAGGGGTTTAGGGGTTTAAACACCCCCATTGAGCTCAGACAAAATGGCAAAAATAAAAATTTTAGTAAAAATTATGCGAGCTATTATTTTTTAAGACTATATATTTTTATGTGCCTTATGCCTACTTTTTTTTCTCATGGTATTTCTCAGAATACAGAAAAAACATTTACTATAATAGGGTTGTACTTTTGAAACCAAAATCACGTGATATATATATATTTGCTGTTCTTGGATCTTTAGGATGTCAAAAAGCTAGAATTTAACAATTTTTAATTACTTTGAGAAAAAATCACGACCTGAACTTAGTGAGGTGACAGCATCTAGTACCAATGTAAGTTTTACTGTTGTACAGAAATGTGATACTTCCGTTGAAGAAAACGTTTCTAGCATAACAAAATCTGATGAATGTGAAAGTGGCCCTCAAAGTGTTAC